TGAATAAGAAATACCTTAGCCTTCTTTATAATATAGATAGGACCCTGCACGCGCTTTGATTGGTCAAAAACCCATGTTTAATCAGCATATAAAACATAGAAAAAGCGTGTCTTATTGTTTTTCGCCGCATTACCTCTATATCATAAAGCAAATGAAGAAGCTTAAGCCGGGTATTACACCGTGATTAAACACTCCGGACATTTAAGAAAACTCGAGAAATGTAGAAAACACTCGCCTGCGGCTCGTGTTTTCTACATTTCCCTTGTCAGTGTTCTCAAATGCCCGTCGTGTTATATCACAGTGTAATACACGGCTTAGGCATTTTTATTTGTTAAATATAATCGTACGTATGGAATTACTGTTAACACGTAAAAAAGGAAAGCTACTGTAGAAAGTCTGTTAATACGGGTGTTTATGACCTCATAATGCGAGTTTCATAAAACCCATACGTAGCATTAAGCACGTGGATGTTCTTAATCTGTTGACACTAATTTAAAGTTTCGGTATTAGAATCCTTTTAAGTTTTTTCTGTTGTGGTCACGTGACTGGTCAAATATGGCCATCATTTGAAACTTTTCAGGACTCCTCAATGGAACAAACCTGTGCAAAAAAACTTATCCTTAGGAGGTCCGGTTTTCAAAATATGACGGTTACAAACCTTCCTTAGCAACAAAGTCATGACCAATTTGTAGTTAAGAAAGACCCCCCTTAACTGAAGGCAAACAATGGTGGGCAGAAACGATTACAGATTTGTTCACATTATGTTAACGCACAGCTCAGTAATATGCCATTTACGTTTCCAAGGTTTTCTTTGGTCAAGAAAATAGCTATCGCCGTCGTCTTGAAGTCACTGCATTTAGAACTGAAGAGGATAATTTTCTATTTACGCAAACGAAGCTAGTGAGTGCAATGCGTCGGTCAAACCATCGAACTACCTAAATAGGTATCTAATCAGAGCAAAGCGGATCAAATCGCCATGTTCTTTGTCAGGGTTTCTTTGCAACGTTTCGACCAAAATGCAGTTTAATCTCCGCGGTACTTCCCCACTTACACTAAGTAATAATTAGTTGGAGTGAAGCCCCTTAAAAAGCATATTTTTTGTTTACCTCCTTGAAGCCCTATTTTTTAACATGCCCCACCCCCTGCGCCTAAATCCCACCAGCCTCCCCTATCTCATTAAAATTGAACGGTCACTAGTATAACATATATAAGATTGTGTAAACCAATATCAATTTACCAATTTGGATGTGTATCTAAGAAGGGTTGTCACCGTCAGTCTTCTAAAACCTTCGGATAGTGTTACAGCTATCTTAAGATCAGCTGTATTAGTTCAGGCCATGCTAATATTCCTCCTGAACCTAAAACTCAGCACGAAGAGCTCCGAGGTTGTTCTCTCGTCTTGATCAACCCATAACCTGGCTGCGATTTTTTTTTTCAAAGGTGGCAGTGAGGTATGTAAGAAGGTCTGACCTCAGAATGTTCCTTTCATCCACATTAAGGCTTCGACCACACTAACGCGTTTTTGAAAGTATCCATTTTCGTCGCAATCAGAACGAAGGAAAATAAGTTCGCCCACACTAGCGTTTTTTTTTTTTCAATAGGCCCACACTGACGCGTTTTCATTCATTCGAAAACGGATACTTTTTGGTGCGTTTTCCCCTATCGTCCGCCTAACACGCCGGAAAACGCTGACTGACTGACTGACTGTTTTCAAAACGGTGCGTTTACTTTAGAAACCGTTTTCAAAAGCCTCTGTTTTCATCAGCGTTTTTGGTCGCTTTAGTTTGCAAGATAGGTGAAAACTCATCAAAAAGTATGGATTTCCAAACGAAAACGCATCAGTGTGGCCGGAGACTAAATCTGTATTTCATGTTTTCGGTTTCTTGCACAGTTGAGTCATGAAGTGTCTAATCTTTACTGTGGCGTTGCTGTCTACGTGTGCACTTTGGAGTGTAAGTATATACCATATTCGTAGTCAGGAAAACCTACTTTTAACAGAGTACTCTATATATTCTTAATTTTGCATTTTTTTTCTATGAAAATGATAAAAAAAAAAGTTTCAATTCACTTTTATAACAATATTTAAAGGCTTTAGAATTAGAATATCTGACAGCAAATTTCGGTGATTTTGGTTTTCGTTCACTTTAGAAGAAACCCAGCTATAGCGTATTTTTTTCACTCAGTTTAATGAATTCCAACTAATTTTTTTACTTTTCCTCCCGTAGGATGAAGTGGCGAGTTCCTCTCTGAGGAATTATCGAGGTGATTATCACAAAGATCAATGTTGATACCAGTAAAATAAATCAACGACAACAACAAGGTTTCTTTCTACTGCAAACCAAAGAAAAGCAATTAATTATACAATATTAATTAAAAATACATTTAGCATCTGGTCACCCAAAATAACTATGAAGCTTAACTAGTTGGGTGACCACTATTTATTAATTAAAAATAAAGAAACCAAAATCACTATATATAAAGTCATATATTTCAGTGGCTGATTCACCAGGGATGAGAAATGATTTGAAATTCGCAGTTTAGCAGGCTTTCAGGATTGCAATGATCAAATTGGAGGAAAATTTGGATGTCAAATTCAGGCTACCTATTATCAAGAGTTTGTAATAGAGTAATCGCCCTACTAGAATTATTTGCTAAGGCCGGCCGGATCCCTAGTCTAGGGACCTGGGTCTTGCCAGATACCCATACTTCTTCGCGGGGCGGCCTAAAGGGAAATTGAACGGACATTTTGAACTTGATGGATTGTGGTGGAGCGGAGTTGTGTCGAGGTTGTTATAATATCGAGAAGATTACGAAAGAAGTATAAATTACAGAGGACGATCCACAAATGAGCAAATGTCGATGAAAGACATTGTATCGCCAGATTTCCTTTTAGCGTTATATTCACTGTTCATTTTTAATTTGTATCGTAGCGAATCGCAGTGGAGTGAGTTAAAGAGCGATCTCGACGAGTGGGCCTTTGTGAAATCGAAATTAATAAACAGTTTGTTAAAACTCTGGATTAGTGTCAAGTTATGTCAGAGAATTTGAACGAAGACGACAACACGCCCAGAAGAAAAATATTCGGTGAATTGTAAATGTGCATTTAGGCGTCAGATTATAGCTCTTATTTAAGTGCTTCCTTTGTCGTAGCTTCCCCAGGTTGTCCGCGACCAGTGGTAGTCATCTGTGACGCCGGGAAAAAGGCTGGCTGTTCCGTGGAATTGAATGATTGCCCGAAAGGTCAAATATGCTGCTTCAATGGATGTGGATACACGTGCGTTAAAAAACCAGGTAATACAGTTGTTAACCCTTTAACTTAAATATGATTGGTCGATATCAAGTTCGTGATGGGTGATAAACTAGTGATTAAATCTTGCAGGAAACAATCAAATTCTGTACGCAAAATCATTCTAAAAGCAACAAAAATGCATAAGTCAAACTATTGCTTGTAGCTTATGGAAATAATATGGCTTTTAGTAATACTATAATAAACTCGAGATCAGCTTTGTGAGCTATTTCGTATTCGACATTGTATTTAACACCGTTTTCTCCAGACAAACGGATCCTCAGAAAATACAAAACATATCTTGTGTCGCTCCCAGTGGGAATTACTCCAATACTTTGCATTGCAGGCCTGACAGTAGTAAATCCACAGTGTCCCCCGCTCAAACCAGGGACAATTGGCACTTGCGTTGAAGCTTGTTCCGGACGCAACAACTGTCCAGCTGGCGAACTGTGCTGCTCCAATGGGTGTGGACACACGTGCCAACCGGGTAATATTAAGTTAACCACGTGCACGTGAATTGTGTAATTTCAAATTCAAGTGGTGCGAAATAAAGAATTTATGTTGGGATTGATATCAAAGGATTTCAGTAAGTTCTGATTTCTGAATGCATAGTATAATATTTTACCCTGGGTATTGTTATTAATGACATGGTAATAAATTATGGGGAATCGTTCTGGCGTGGGGCAAGTCCTAGACCAGGCGAAAATAGAAGCGGACAGCTAGATCAAGCCCGACTTACTCGTTGGGTGGGAGGGTGGGTCGCCAACCTCTTCGCTTAAGCTTTTCGAGAAGAGAGATGGAGTGGAACACGGGTAAATTCTTTTATGCTGCCATTTGCATTAATTTACTATTAATTACCAGTGCAAACGGTGTTTGCACAGTGCATGGAAACGCGTGCTACAAATATCATCTATAATCGTGCACCGTTTGACCAGGGCTTAAAGGAGCTCAGTCACGTTATTTTGAGTTATTTTGGCCACGCACAAAATTACCTTTAAATTGAAGGAAACCTGAAAATAGTAGTTTACTAAGATAGAAAAACACCAAAGAGATCACAATAAACCATAAAGGAACAAGGATGGTTGAGGATGGAGACGATTAACATGAATCACAAACGGCGAATTCAAAACATCTAGGCTAAACTTTTCAAGACGTCCAAACTGTGACGTAGCTCCTTGAAAAGCTATCTGTTTCCACAATCAAAAATTTGCTTCACTTGCACTGTTTTATTTAAAGTTTTTTTTTTTTTTTTGTCGCATTTTGAGATTTTCAACTTAAATTTTCTAGCTTTATCTTTCAGTCGATGATATTGTAAAGAGAATCGAGACTGTAGTACGTTATACTATGGTTTGGTCCGTTAATGCTTAAAATTTAAGCTTTTCATTATGATTATTATTGTTGCTCGTCGATACCTTGATTTTCTCATTTTCTGTCCATAGATAATAGCTGCTGATAACAGTTAATTAATTAGTTCGTGTGCTAATTGTTCCAGAAGGGTCAACAAGTGATTATCGAGATAAAGTGTGCAAATAATGAAAAACTGCAGTAATATTAATAGGTTAATTTCATGTGTGATTTTTTTTTGCAGCCATCAAGTGACTGACTTGGGGCAAACGACAAGTAGCTGCGTTAATCTCAAATATTAAAGGCATTACAGAATAAAATAGTGGCAAAATAATACAGCTCACTTTGTTTTATGTGCTTCCTAATAACAATACGGGAAATCAAATTTCCAAGCATGATACATCAAAACTGCCAAGTAACGAGAGCACATAGTAGAGTACGTCTTCTCTCGCTCTCCAACTCTTGGAATGGTTATAAATAAAGTTAGTGACAAAATACGTCCTTGCATACGGCCGGTGTGCCTAAAATTTGAATGAACCAATCAGTATTCAGCAGGCAGGAAAAACTGTGCTGTCCTGACGTCAAATGCATGTTAGCAGGAAAGGCGTTGAAGTCGGGCAACTCTTCTTACGGGAGACGGCATTGAATATTCACAAAGAGGAATTTCTTATCCCAAAACCACATCAAAAGTGAAAAATATGAAACATTTTGTGTCTTCAAGCTTTTAATATGGCGCCAAAAATGGGTCGACCGCGTCCGGCAACTCGCTCTTCGATCGCTCTCGTCAGGTAGGATAATAGTTGCGTCATTTTGAAAAAAAAATGTTGTTCAGTTCCTCGTCACAATTAAACCCAGAGTTCTGAGTTAAAGATAAGACTAAAATAGTTCAGGGTTTAATCCCTTCAACAATTCAATGCAGAAAATTACCCAGAAGCTTGGATTCCGGTCTTAGACCCGTTTTTCTGAGTTTGAATATTTTTTTAGCATTGAATTAAGTAATCCGAGAGCAAGTTAATCATCATTATGTATAGCAAACTGCACTTGCAATAAGATTGGCAGTTTTTTTAAGCTGAATCAAGAGAACTTTCTCATTTTAAAGTTGAAACGTCAAACGTCATGACGCATGACGAAGAAGCTAACAGTTGATTAGCGCAAAGCAAACAGTGTTTAATTTCACTTTCTCAAAGTGACGCTACAACACTAAGTTTCTTTGATCAACTCGCCAGCAATACAAATTCCCGTTTTACAGATAACGCGTTGAAGTCGTACACCATGAATGCAACATTGATGGTTTTACTGCTGTGCTTTTTGCTGAGCAATGTAAGTACCCAAAAATACTTAGATACAAAATTCATTTTATTTAAGGGGCCACGTCACACACCCTACCTCACTTGTTGTTGCGCAGTTCAAAATAACCTTCGAACAAAAAGCAGACTTGAATAACAGTTTGTCTTGAATAATAATACCCAGTAAAACTTAAATACATCAAAATTACACGAAGCATTAAATGATGGTTAGCTAAAGTTGAAAAGTAATAATAAGAGCTAAAAGGAAAAAGCAGTTTGGGTGAAATGGGCATGATTGGTACGAACTACGAACGACGAACCCCAGGGGATATCTCAAGAAAGTTTTATACGAGAGGGTTCTACCATGAGCTGCTGTATAAACCCCAGGGGGCTCTACCCCGAGGTCCAAACCCTTACCCTTCTGTATGAACCCCTGGGGATTTCTCAACAAAGTTTTATCCCAGGGGGCTCTACCCCGAGGTCAGAAGCTTTACCCTTCTATATGAAGGGAAACCCCTTCAAATACTTTCTACAGAAAATAGTTTCACAAAAATCTAGTTGCAGTTTTGTGTGTTTGTTCGAGATATGTTTTTTTTTTTATTTTCAAAATGATTTTTGCAGGTTCCTAAATGCTCTGCACGACCAGGCGACGGTGAGTAAATACTAACAATCTTAGCTTTTCCTTGAATTGATAATGAAGAAAATCAACATTGCACCGACAGGCCGAGTGCATGACCAATGTTGTAATGATAATGGTCAACATTGGTTTATTATCACTGGCATTGAATTGATCTTGATCAAAAATAAAACAGATAATGAGCAATATGGGCATAGGCTGAAAGAAAGAGAACGAGGATTTGGAAAGATTGACATGAATTTCAAACCACAAACTTGAAAAAACTAGGCCAGCCATAAAGGCCATGCGCTTGACTATGAGGAGAGAGTGGCTGAAAACGAGACTGAGGCCTTTTTTTCCCAACAAACAATATCTCTCAAAGATAGTAAATGGACTAATAATGACCTTCATAGGGAGGCGCATGGTGAACTGGTTTAGGGCGCTGGATTTGAAATCTGGGGGTCCCTAGTTCAGATCCTCCTCCCTACCGCTATCTGGATTTTACCTCCGTATTCCCGCGGCTCAAATCCACCACCGCGTTGTGCAAATGGCCTCCCACCAGTTGGCATGTTTTAATAATTAATGTTCTATTTGCAATATTTGGTTATTTACATGTTTACCGTGTCCCCAATTAGCTGAACACCGCTAAATACACTTGACATATAATTAAGTTATTTATGTTACTTATTTTATTTAATGATTTAGTTTATCTCTGGTGTGGCACCTCTCTCTTTTAGGCATTAAGCCGTGCAAAGACGCGCTTCCAAATATCTACTGCGGGCGCGGGGGACAGGAATGTCCAGAAAGATTCACATGCGTCGTTCATCCAGCTGATCGCTTTGCTATCTGTTGCCCGGATGCCGGAATGGGACGAAAGTAGCAGAGATGTTAAACCAAAAGTTAGCAGGTATTCGGCAGGGAGGGCAACTTTTTATTTGGGATAAACAATTAGCGCGATGGAATAAACATTCTTTTCTCTTTTGTCTCCCGTTTAGCAAAGTGGTCCTGAGAGGGAGAGGGGTTGGGGTGAGGAAGTGAATAAGAGACGGAAAATGAAAATACATCGGAGGCTAGAAGTCAGATAACACTATGCAACATCAGTCTGTACTGACGAAAGGCTAATCAATAAGAAAATTTTAATCACCTAAGAGAGCTCGGTCAGAGTATTCTGAGTTATTTTGGCCACGCATAGAATTGATTGCAGGAAACCTGAAAATAATAGCTTACTAAGATGGAAAAACATCAAAGAGATAATAATAAACCATAAAGAGACAAGGATGAGTGTCCCCAGTTAGCACATTTAATAGTGCTAAGTACGTTTGACACTTTTAAAATAAGGTTATTATTATTATTATATTATTATTATTATTGTTATTATTATTATTATTGACACCGATTTCAAACAACGAACGTAAAAAATTTAGGCTAAAGTTTTCAAGATGCGTAAGCCGTTACCTAGCTCCTTAACACCCACTTGGACTGTAAGCTAAAATGAAACTACAGGAATTACAGTGGCTTTCTTAATAAACTTTGTCCTTTCTTTTGTTTCAGACTCCCGTTGTGTTTAGTAACTGAACAGTTTCATTGCCGTTGATTGAAGCCAAGTCATGTACTGGCATGAAAATGGATAGCGCTACAAAACTTTAGCTTGTAACATTTAACATTAATTACATGTGTAAATTTATCATGTAATTTTATAGGCACACACGAGAGTTTAAAATGAATGAAATAAAAAAAAGTGTATGTTACAAATATGTTGGTGTCATTTTAACTGAAGCCCTAACCTGGGGAAAATTGAAGATTTTAGTCTCACTCAAGGTGTTCAGAACAGAAAGTGGTTTCTGCGCACCAAGGTATCTTTTAGGGTTGCATTTGACAGAAATAAAAGAAACTAACAATTCGCAGTCATACTGTGTCGAAGGTTTAAATAGATCTGGAACGAAATCTTTAACATCTCTTCTTAGATGAAAGCATTCGATGACATTTATGCCGCCAAGGTAACTTAACTCTAACTTATGCGTTTGTTTTAGATTGGTATTTAGGGGGTTCACATAAAGCGTGAACACACCCAGATTGGTCTTTTGTAAGGGTCTACCGTAAATCCTCGAATTAGCGCCCCCCTCGAATAAGCGCCCCCCTCCCCTCCCCCCATTTTGTGGACTTAATGGGAGGTGCAGTGGCCTAATGGTTAGTGCGCTCGTCTCCGGATCGAGCGGTCCGAATTCGAGCCCTGGGGCCCGTTTCTCGAAGGTCCCGAAAAGTTTTCGCACCCGGAAAGCCACAGCAAAGTCTTCAGCCTTACGATTACAGAGCTGTTTTATTCACATATTCTTATTATGAACAGAGGTTCCTTTCATACAAGACGTTTCAGGCGTATACACTTCTCCGTTTTAGATACAGATGAACTAAAAATGGCTTTACGGGCCCGAAAAGTTTCGGGGCTTTCGAGAAACGGGCCTCTGGGCCAGGGACATTGTGTTGTGTACTTGGGCAAGAAACTTTACCCTCACAGTGCCTCTCTACGGGCGAACTTAATGCTGGGGGTAACCCTGCGATGGACTAGCATCCCATCCAGGGGGGAGTAGAAATACTCCTAGTCGCTTCATGCTACG